GTAGGGAGTTGAGACCCCGGGGAGGAGGCCGGATAATGCCTCGCCGCGCCCCCGGCTGCGGGGCCGTGGTTTTTTCTCTCCTCCTGGGAGTAACGAGCACGACGGCCCCTCACCCCTGAATTAGCCTTCTATTTCCATTTGCGACTTAGAAGCTTCCCGGCGCCTCATCTGTGCTCACCTGAGTTGAGGATCAGGAATGGGAGGGGGCACAGTCATTGCCTCGCGGGCGGGGCGGGACCCCAGCGGACGGCTTTGTGCGGACTTTCGGCACCGTTATCCCCCCGCCGCCAGCCCTACACCACCTGGGGCCGGCGCGCCACTTTACTGTTCGGGGCCCGACCCATCGCGTTACTGCTCCGGGGACCCGGACCGCCGATCCCGGGGATGGGGGACTCCAAGACTCAGACCCCACACGGGAGACCCCGAGACCTCAGACCCTACGGAGGGGACCCTGAGACCTCAGACCCCACCCGAGGACCCCGAGGCTTCAGACCCCCACAGGCTGACCCCGAGATCTCAGACCCCCGCAGAAGGATCTCGAGAGCTCAGGTCCCCAGTGGGGGAGTGAATGAGACTTCGGATCCCTGAGGCAGCAAATCCCTGTGGGGCATCCCAGGACTCAGATCACCGCATGGTGACCCCAGACCTCACATTCAGGCAACCCCCAAGCCGCCGATCGGCCGGGCACTACCCACTATCCCGGCGACCTCCCTAGAGCTCAAAGGCTTGGCCCTCCAGCTCCTGTGCCCTGCCTGCTCCCAGGCTCAAAACTCCCGCGCACGGATCCCCGCCCCGGAAGCAACCAGATTCACGGGAGGTTACCTGACTGGTCCAAGGTGATACAGCTGGTAGCTGTCGAAGATGTTGGTACTGAAACTCATGTACTTTTCGTTCTTTCTATTGAATCTAGAGGTAGAATATATGTACAAGAATATCAACTACCATCTACTCAGGTCCCTGTTTCATCTGTTTATTCATTCACTCAGCGGTTAATAGGATCCAGTGAGCCCTCTGTGGTTCTGAAGGATTGCCTTGAGTATATGCAGCCTCAAAAAACCCACTTCCTAGGCTCAGTCTTTGATCAATATTTATCATTATCACAAGTTATTGCTCTAATAAGCTCTACTCGGGAGACACGGTGTTATGGTTTACTTGGGAGTGTGAGTTCTGGTCATCATTGAAGACTCACGTACTTTTACTGAGAAAGTGACATTGATCTCTGTAGATTTAGAATTAAATGATATGATGAAGTATATAAACCCATTACTTTTAGTCAAGGTGGTAAAAAAAAATTTAGTATTTGATAGATTTTTCAGCTCCACTATCACAAATATTTTGTCCTAGGATTTCTTCTAGAAATATTACTGTTTGGGGTTGTATATTAGGTATAGGATCTACTTTTTTATTTATTTTTATTTATTTTTTTTTTCAGGCAGGGTTTCACTCTGTTGCCCAGGCTGGAATGTAGTGGTGTGATCACAGCTCACTGCAGCCTCAACCTCCTGGGCTCAAAGGATAAGATCTACTTTTAATTAATTTTTGTATACGGTATGGGATAGCGACCAAAGTTCATTTTTTTGCGTGTATACATATCCAAATGTTCCAGCATCATTTGTTAAAACGTTATTTTTGTCTCTACTGCATTTCCTCTGTGCTTACGTCGAAATCTGTGTCGCATATGTATGTGTTTCGTTTTAGGCTTCCTATTCTGTTCCATTGAGCTATTTATCTTTTTGCCGCCAGCACCATGCTGTTTTAATTATTGTAGCTATATAAATAAGTGATGAAATAAGGTAGTTTATGTCCTACAACTTTGTTTTTATTTTTCAAGCTTATTTTGTATCTTCTAGATTCTTCAGATTTCCTTGTAAATCTTAGAGTTGTCTTGTCATTTTGCACAAAAAAAAAGACTGCTGGGATTGTGTTTACAGATCAATTTGGGGAGAATTGACATTTTAACCGTATTAAATCTTCTGACCCATTCACATTTAGGTCTTTTAAAATTTCTCTGGCCGGACACGGTGGCTCACGCCTGTAATCCTAGCACTTTGGGAGACCGAGGTGGGCGGATCCCGAGGTCAGGAGATCGAGGCCATCCTGCCTAACACAGTGACACACCGTCTCTACTAAAAATACAAGAAATTAGCAGGGTGCAGTGGCGGGCGCCTGTAGTCCCAGCTACTCGGGAGGCTGAGGCAGGAGAATGGTGTGAACCTGGGAGGCGGAGCTTGCAGTGAGCAGCGATCTCACCACTGCACTCCACCCGGGGCAACAGAGTGAGACTCCATCTCAAAAACAAACAAACAAAAAACTCATAACCTTTGTTAGATTTTAACATAAGTATTTTTTATTTTTTTTTATTTTTATTTTTTGAGACAGGATCTCACTTTGTCACCCAGGCTGGAGTGCAATGGTGTGATCATGGCTCACTGCAGCCTCGACCCTCCTGGGCCCAAGCTATCCTCCTACCTCAGCCTCCTGAGTAGCTGGGACTACAGGTACACACGACCATGCCCAGTTAATTTTTTAAATTCTTTTTAGAGGCGGGGTCCCACCATGCTGCCCAGGCTGGTCTCGAACTCCAGGGTTCAAGCAATCCTCCTGCCTCAGCTTCCCAAGGTGTAGGGATTACAGGCGTGAGCCACTGTGCAAGGCCTTGTATTTTTTGATAATATTGTAAATGGTGATTTTTTTTTTCAATTTTGTTTCTGATTGTTGCTAATATATGGAAATACAGTTGATATCTGCAATTCATCTTATGTCCTGAAAACTTGCTAAATTTGCTTAATAATTTTTGTACATTCAAAATGATGTTCTACAGGTAGTCATATTGTCTATGTTGGAAGGAAAGCTTTTCCTTGTTCAATGTGGGTCCTGTGTTTGAGGACCTGCAAATTAACTGACAACAATAATTTAACAGGAGAAAAGACAAGGTTTAGAGTAACTCAGTAAATAGAAATAAAGGTTTATAGATCCACTTAACAAAATGTGTTGGGAGATTTTGGAGTTTCAGTAGGAAGTTGTGGAAGGTTCTTTTGGGCTTTTGGATGCTTACAAGAATGGGCAATCTGTCTCTACAGTAGTGGAATTCGCAGGAAACTTCCTCAGAGGGAAGCCAATGGCACCTGTATTTTCTGGAGGCTCTGCTTTAGTGAAATAAAGGAAGTTCAAATAAAATTTCTTGCTGCATCTTTCTTAGGTCAAATATTTTCACAGTAAAATAATCTTTATACCAAAGTTTAGGGCCTGAATGTCCACACATTTCTCCATCTGAAACTTCCCTAGAAGTTTCATTAAAAAAAGGAAGCTAAGTTGATCGCTGTGGGGAGATGATTTGAGTTAGAAACTGTAAGATGAGAGATCTGTAAAAGGGGGAAAAACATAGATTAGAACAAGGAAACAAAATGAAAACAATGATTAATGTTCAGAGTAGACGATAAACCCAGTCTAGAGGGCAAGTCAGTTATGAAATTTTCTAGATGTTGGACTCCAGCCATCTTTAGTAAGGATGGTAGTAGTGGGTAGTGGCACCATCATGGTTATTTCCTGGAGCACAGTCTGTAAGATGCAGGTGTTCTGGGAAATATTTGAAAGACCCAAGTGTTGTGATAAATCTTTTGAAGTTTATATCTAGCCATCCAGCTTCAGCTTGCAAGGCTTTGAGAAGGAAGCGTTTTAGTTCTCAGTGACATCAAGTCAGTAGAGTGGGAGGAAAATTGGAAATACTAATTACTAACAAAATGTGTAAGACAGCAGGATCCAGGTGTTTTTTGTTTGTTTGTTTTTGTGTTTGTTTTTGTTTTGAGACAGAGTTTTGCTCTTGTTGCCCAGGTTGGAGTGCAGTGGCACAATCTCGGCTCACTGCAACCTCCGCCTCCCAGATTCAAGCAATTCTCCTGCCTCAGCCTCCCAAGTAGCTGGGATTATGGGCTAATTTTGTATTTGTAGTGGAGATAGGATTTCTCCACGTTGGTCAGGCTGCTCTCGAACTCCTGACCTTGTGATCCACCCACCTCAGCCTCCCAAAGTGCTGGGATTATGGGCATGAGCCACCGCGCCTGGCTGGCAGGATCCATCCTTTAAAGAGCTAAAAAAGTAGTTCAAAGACAGTGAACAAGACTAGAGTTTGATAACTCACACAACTGGGTTATAGTTTGCCATTGAAATGTAAAATTTCTCTGTATAATTACTACCACTGAGATCAAAGATAAAGTAAGATTACTCTTGTTTACAAAATAAGTCTTATCTCATTAAATTTGGCCTGATCATTTACATAAGTCCAGCAAGAATGATAATTGACCACACGAGCCTTTTTAAGTTTGCTTTGCTGGAACTTTTATAAGGAATCTCAGATTAGACTTTTAAGACTATACCTACACTGCCGGGCACAGTGGCTCACGCCTGTAATCCCAGCACTTTGGGAGGCCGAGGTAGGTGGATCACAAGGTCAGGAGTTCAAGACCATCCTGCCTAACACGGTGAAACCCCGTCTCTACTAAAAATACAAAAAAATTAGCGGGGGCATGGTGGCGGGCACCTGTAGTCCCAGCTACTTGGGAAGCTGAGGCAGGAGAAGGGCATGAGCCCAAGAGGCAGAGCTTGCAGTGAGCTGAAATCGTGCCACTGCACTCCAGCCTGGGCAACAGAGCAAGACTGAGACTCCATTCCCCACCCCACCCCAAAAAAAGACTACACCTACACTATCTGTAGTTTCAGATAGAGAAATGTGGGGATCCATTCAGATCCTAAAACTTTTGCTCTTCTTGAGGTTTCCAAAACATCTTAAGGCCCTAGGCCTGCCAGTAAGTGTACCCATCTTACTCACCTGTAAGCCTGGAACCCTGTAAGTCAGGTAAGGCACCAGGTCAATTATTTCAAGAGAGCTTTGTAAGCATTGACTCCATCAAGTCAACCTTAGTTTATTAAAAATGTCTGTTCACATCTAATTCTATGCACATCAGTCTCAAATATGACATTCTGTTCAAACTCACGGTAATATAATCAATTTTTCCAAAGAACGTCCTTATTTAAGGAGAATAGATTCTTCTTGAATTTATGCAGACAACTATATTGCCATGAGAATACGAATATTCAATAAGAATTGACAAATTTTAAGGCTGGGCACGGTGGCTCAAGCCTGTAATCCCTGCACTTTGGGAGGCCGAGACAGGCGGATCACGAGGTCAGGAGATCGAGACCATCCTGGCTAACATGGTGAAACCCCGTCTCTACTAAAAAATACAAAAAAAAAAACTAGC